AACCGAAAAGAGAATGTTCCAGTCTCAACGGTTGGCAGACTAGGAGCTTTTTCTAGCTACGTTTGAAGGATCCGAGGTTTTAGGAGGAAGGAAGCACGTCACGAATTAACCATTCCACATTGTTACGGTACGGTATATGGTATTGACGCTGATATAAAAATACGAACCTAAATTTAGGATTAAGTCACGTATGTTTCCTATTTTTATTCGCTGTATCATTGCTGTGGCCTTTTACAGCACCTAATGTACTACGAAATAAGATTTACATTAATTTATTTAAAGGTTATATTAAGGATATACCTACTGGTAGTTATTTTGATACGGATCATCAAAAACAGAAGCAAGTAGAAGCAAGAGTAAGTCTGGTACGCAATTTCTATTCTACCGTCATCATCATCGTTTCAGCTGTTAATTATTCACTGCTGAACATAGGCCTTCTCATAGATCGCCATAAGGAATGATCCTGAGTCATTTACATCCATTGACTTCCTGCTACACATTTGTGGACGTCGTTTTATCTAGTGAGGTCGCTCCATCCTATACTGTGTTTGCCTGTCATTCAAAAACCTTTCTTCTCTATTGGTTATCTTGCTTATGCGAAGATTTTTTTTTATGAATGATAATGGAATGATAACCCCGTCTGCGCTTGCATGATTGGTGAGGATGAAAAGGCAGGTCAGTTAGCCCATCGTGACAAATTCAACGACAAATTAGTCACGATGGTTTCTAGAGGAACTACGTGGAGGTCGATCTGATAGATTACATTGATAGCAATGGGGACTAATCTCCCCGTTACTAACAATCCCTTCCCCCCAACCAGTGCGAACTTATACTGTAATAAAATAATTATTTGTACACAATTTAACGAAAACAAACACTCTTTCTGATCTGGGGGAGAGGGATTGTTAGTAATGGGGACATTAATCTTTTATTAATTAATTAATTTGACGTTAATATTTATACAAATTAATATTAATACAATGAGGGAAAGGGATTATTAATAATGGCGACTGAGAATCCCATTGCTAGCAATATACCCAACCAAGTCGACCTCGCGGTTCCCCCTGGAAACTATCATGGTTAATTCCTGATGAATTCATCATGATTGGCTAACTGGCCTGTTTTCATTCTCATCTATCACCCTTCACTGGTGCTCCGCCAGCGTATCCCGTTAGCGCAGGCGGGGTTACCATTCCATTTTCACTCATCAAAAAAAAAATTAATACATACTCGTATGTATAGAATCACATAAGTATATCGTAATTTCTGAAGAGTAAAAAAAAGCATCAAAGGTCACCAATCACATTGAAGATCACACTCAAAGGTTGCTTAACCTCATTAATCGACATCAGCTAACAGTTAGATTATTAAGTTGAAGGTAATTCAATCAACTTTATAAAAGATATAGAAATATATCTAAAGTTAATTAAATACACTACAAATTTTAAATTATCAATTTAATTCATAAAGATAAAAGATTAAATTAATTGCCTTATATCCATTCAATGAATCATGGTTTCTCCTACCTGCAGAGATTTTAAAATCTAGGGCTTCCCCGGACACCTGCGTCACAGACAGTTCATTGACGTCAAGGGGTCACATTAATGAGACCACATGATCATTTTATAAGAAAAAATAAAACTACATGAACTAAAAAGTTTAGTATATATAAATTTAAGATTGTATTTTATAAAGGAGGGAGACTTTGTACAAAAGTCGTTTGCTTGGGTACCTCTGTCTCATTCGTGTTTCAACCGTAAAGCAGTTGTGTTTGCATGGCTGTGTTTCGGTATGAAGGGTGGGATATGGCGTGAATTTACAGGGTACAGAGGAATAACACCCGAGTCCTCAGGAATGGCAACGCATGGGGGGTATCATGGGCGAAACAGTATACTCTGTTATGTCCATGGTACTGCCCATGTCTATAGGCGACGGTTGCCACTTTCCATCAGGTGGGCCGTCAGCTTGTTGGCCATTCTAAGTTGTATAAAAAAAATTAAAATAAAAAAAAGACTTCAATTGTGACAAAATCTGTTATTTTGAGTTAAAAAAAAAACTAAATTACTGAACCGAATTTAATAAAATTTCTATGTGCATTATGATTTAAATTTAAATTATTATTTGAAAGTATATTATTAAAAAATGTATTTTCCAAATCGGTTTACAACTGACGTTCTTAGGTCAATCAATCGGTGTTCATAGGAGCGTTCCCATTAAACTAAATCTTAGACAAACACATACAATAAAAATGAATGGATCGATATCGAATTATTCATTTCTTGTATAGATCATTAAATTAGACGTCTCTTAAAAAGATCAATAAAAAAAATCGATAATTGAGATCCAAAAGATGAATATTCGGTTAAATCGAACATTATACCGGAACTCCGAAACCTACAGAATCAAGATCTCAAATTAATAATACCGTTTCGTTCGTCATAAACCTCACTGTAACTGTTCGAACGACCAAAATTATATCATTTTGATACCATTTCTTTCGGTTTTTTTTTTTTGTAATTTTATACAAGTAGATAAAACATTCGGACCTAAACTAATTTAAAAATTCCGTTATTTCTATATTAATTCCGCCGAGAATCGATCTGTAACTAATGTCTACATTACCGTGTACATAGAAACATTATAAAAAAATATATTAATATATTTATTGATTTTTGGATGTATGGTCCCGGCATAGAATAGGCCACCCTGTTTTTTTCCGGGGGACACCCACGGGAAAAGACAGTTATCCGTTATTCAGCGTATCCCGTTAGCGCAGACGGGGTTACCATACCATTTTCACCCATAAAAAAAATCTATGGTTTATCAGTAGGTGCAGTCTGGTGCATCAGTATAGTAGTATACTACGGCGTTGCTCGCATGAATTCGTATGAAATATGGCTATGTTAGATTGCTAATGGGTAGAAAAGTGTTATTTTCAATTGTTTCTTTTATTTTTTTGCCACATCTTCTATACATCTGTTTGTTTTATTAATTCTTTTACATTTTAAGGTTTACTTTCGTGTTGATGTTATATAAATTTTGTCGTCCCATATTAATGCAGTGCGTTCAGCTGTCAAGTCAGTATTGGGTTTTTCAAAATATTTTGACTCATATTTTTCACCACACCTTCCCTTCATACGCTTTCTGTTCTTACCTAACGGTTAGCTGATAGAGAATGCCATATGGCATTAAGCTCGCCATTTGTACAAAGTTTTATTGTGCAACAAAGAATAAACAATAATACTAATATTAGGCGGTCTTATCGTTACTATAAATGTTTATAGATTGAGGATTTTAATGTTAAAAGAATAGCTATTATAGATTTAATAATCAGTGGATATTTGTTATATTATTACTATGCTTAGGGATGATTGTAGTAGTTGTAGACACTGAAGTAAACTATTACTATAGCAGCCTAATATTATAATAATGGATAATGGATACCGTACTGACGCGCTTCGTGTCCAGGGCCACGTAGGTACCTAGCGTAATGACACTAAATATTTGTTATAAAATAAGGTGACATAAATATTTGGTTATTGATACGAGTAATAATTTAAAATCTATCCATTAGAGAATGCGTATAATTTTAAGATTTTGTTCACCGAGAAATATAAACTCACCTATCATCCCTCAATGGTGGTGATGCTCCGCCAGCGTTATACCGTTAACGCAGGCGGGGTTACCATTTAATCATCCATTAAAACAACCTGTTTAACTGAATATTCTTTCTGAAAAACATTTTTAATTTAAATTAAAACAAATTTAGGTGTTTCTTTTACGTCAAAGATAAAAGAATGACAGACTTAAGATTATTAAATACTTAAAATGCATTGTTTCTCAGTAGTTCATTTTATGGGGTCCATGCACCGACAGTATCGTAAATGTTCCGTAATATTTCTATGAATTACTTCAGATAACGCAGTGAGTCAACCTCACTTAACTATTGTTAGAGATCAATGACAATCTAACAAGAATGCCGTGCTGATCAGCCAAGTTACATTGTGACATATCTCATCAACTATATATATATATATATATATATATATATATATATATATATACATTCAGCTATATTTTAATATATTTATTTGTATAAAAAATATTTAGCTTCATAAGAGTACGATTGTGCATAATAGGTCACTCTTGGGTGGGTTTTATGGCTGTGTTTCGATTTAAAGGGATAAAAATAGTAAAATTATAGGGAACAACGGTATAACCATGTTATACCATGGGTGTCACAGTTATTTTAAGGTGTCCGTAGTGCTAACACTTACAGTCCTAGAAGTAGAAAGTGATAAACAAACATATAGCCGGTCTGATGGTAAACAGATTAGAACAGTTTTCATTTTAAGTCTATATTTCTATATTCACTAAAATATCTATGAATACAAAATCATTAGTTTTCTATTAGTGAAACTGGAAAGTTTTCTAAGAAATATTATTATTATTATTATTTATTCTTTGTTGCACAATAAAACTTTGTACAAGTGGCGAGCTTAATGCCATATGGCATTCTCTATCAGCTAACCGTTAGGTAAGAACAGAAAGCGTATGAAGGGAAGATGTGGTGAAAAATATGAGTCAAAATATTTTGAAAAACCCAACACTAACTTGACAGCTGAACGCACTGCGTTAATATGGCACGACAAAATTTATATAACATCAACACGAAAGTAAACCCCAAAATGTAAAAGAATTAATAAAACAAACAGATGTATAGAAGATATGGCAAAAAAATTAAAAGAAACAATTGAAAATCGCCCTTTTCTTAACAATTGGTAGAAATCTAACATAGCCATATTTCATACGAATTCATGCGAGCAACGCCGTAGTATACTACTATACTGATGCACCAGACTGCACCTACTGATAAACCATAGACGCCCTAAAGCCAGCGGTGATTTTTCACCAAAACCTTATCATGGGCAGGCGCCGGCGTGCGCACGCGCAGCCCGCACTGGTGGGGATAAGATTTGCTCGACTTATATTTCTGATCGCGGCGCCGAGCCGCACAAACGACATCGGGCCTCGGTCGCGGACGTGTCTAAAATAAAAAAAAAAACTATGTGCAACATATGTACACGCGATGTAATGAGCGCGGAGGCACCGACGCCTCCCCCGCTACAAAATAACTGCACACTGGAACGTTTCAAGAACAAACACAACATAGTGACGGACCCCACTAATCCGGAGAAGCAGAAGGAAGTGGAGTACCAGCCAGATTTGCTCGCTGTGTCCACGCAGTACACCAAAATTGCATACGATGTGTTCAAGCAATGTACAACGCGATTGCAGGAGTCCAAGGCATTTGTGTGAGTTTTGCTTCCTATATTTTTTTTATTTGATGCTTACATAAAATGTAATTCTTATATTATTTTCACATCACATGTAAACCATAGAAGTAAGAGTGCATGGTGTTTAAAACTGCATTTCGATTCGAAACAGTCAATATTTCCAATTGATAATACGCATTCACTTTATTTCCTAATTAAACTGCATAAAAATTGCAATAGTTGTATCATACGAAACAGAATTGTATTTTCTAATAAGTAAATCCGGTCGTAATAGTCGATATTATCGATACAATCGGCGATTTGACCTTAGTCTCGACCGCTATCTCTTTCAAATTGTCATTGAATAGCAAAATATACTGAAACAATACGTGAAATAATGAGAAATTATTAAAAATATTACGGGCATCCGCGTATGAAAAACTTCACGCTTGCCGCTTCATTGTACGTCGGGACTTAATTGGATTCACATACACACAGTTAATTGCTAAAAAACATAAGAAATTACAAATTAAATAAACCGTACTGTATGGAATTCTTGAAAAGGATCAATCTATTAAAATTTGTTTAGGGCCAACGCACAAATGACCCCCCTAGTATTGCATGCATCTAAAATTACGATACCCGTTTATTATCAAACAGGATCTATACTTTACAACTTTTGTGGTATAAAAAAAGTATTAGAAGACAACAGGACATCGCTTCCATCGTAACAGAGTCTGTTTCCTTTCCTTTGATGTGTTTGTTTATTAACACTCGTTCCTCAGTTGTAAGTAGACAGTCTTAGCTCGGGAATAGATTCAATATCTCTCTCTTTTCATTTAAGAGTTTCCTCTTGTCAGTGCAACTAATTCATGCATCTTCCTCCAGCCAGTTCTATCCCAGGCCATATCCTCGACCTCCCTATACGACATAACACCTAGTGTTTCTTTTATCTGTCCCATGTAGTTATTCCTCGGTCTTCCTCTTCCTCTTTTGCCCTCTATTTTTCCCTCTACTATACTAAAAAAATATATAAATTAAAAAAAATTCATTAGTTTTTCTTTCCAGCTTATCCTTTCCATTCTCCTCCACGTCCACATTTCGAATGCCTCAAGCATCTTTTTTTTCCTTTTGCGTCATTGTCCATGTTTCACACCCATACAATTCTATGCTCCAAATATAAGTTTTTATAAATTTCTTAAGGATTATTTTGGATATTTTTGTGGTAAATATATGTTTTTTGTTGTCGTAGGCCTATTTTGCTAATATATTTTGTCGATTTACTATGTTCATAATTACCACGTGGTCACGACATAGAATAGACCACCTTTTCTATCCTGTAGGCGTCGTAATAGGCAACTAAATGAACATAATGGTCGAGGGATTGGCAGCAGCGTCTTTTTAAAACATCACCAAGGCCTAACTGTGGGTGCCAACTCGCCATTCAAGCCTGGCAACTACTGGCTAAATTCCCCCTTATGGGAGAAGTCCATGATCAATACTGAACAATTAAAGGCTGATATAGTATACAGTATGATCGTATTTATGTGTCAAATTTCATATTCTTACCGTGATCTAATTTAGTTTAAAATTTCATTAAAAAAATTTTACAATTATAGATATACAATTTCGGTTTGAAGGGTGGGATATGGCGTGAATTTACTGGGTACAGAGGAATAACATCTGAGTTCTCAGGAATGGCAACGCATGGGGGGTATCATGGGCGAAACAATATACTCTGTTATGTCCATGATACTGCTCATGTCTATAGGCGACGGTACCACTTTCCATCAGGTGGGCCGTCAGCTTGTTTGCTATTCTAAGTTGTATAAAAAAAAAAATTATGAAATAACAAGAATATTTTAAGAGGTAACTAATCAATAATTACTTTCATTTACATAAAAAAAAAATTAATATGTACGTGAAGAATCAAATAAGAGAACACTTAGTTCCAGCTGTTAGTAAAACCAGTTACCGGTAAACACCTTTCATTTTATAGTTGGCGTTTGTTATTAATGAATTTGCTGATGAACGCTTTAGCGTTTTCTAACTATTATTTATATTAGTATAAAACTGTGTTCCACAAAAACATTTTTCACCCTCTAGTTATTTTTCCTTCTAGTATACTCTTTAATAAATCATCATGTCGTATAAAGTGGTCCAACATTTTACCTCTTCTATATATATATATATATATATATATATATATATATATATATACAAAATATGTATAAAATAAATAAATATATAATAATAAAATATCTATATATATATATATATATATATATATATATATATTTATTATTGGATGAAAATGAATTGGTAACTCCGCCTGCGCTAACAGGATACGCTGGCAAAGCACCAGTGAAGGGTGATAGATGAGAATGAAAACAGGCCAGTTAGCCCAACATGATGAATCCATCAGGAATTAACCATGATAGTTTCCAGGGGGAACCGCGTGGAGGTCGACCTGGTTGGGTATATTGCTGGCAATGGGGTTCTTAGTTTCCATTACTGACAATCCCTTTCCCCCCTGATTGTACATATTCGTATGTATATAATAGTGCGCCACCTACCCTGCGTCTTTTTTCCCAATGTTCACTACTCAAAAGTTATCTAGAAGAGACTGCTTAGCAATAAGGTCGCCTTTTGTATATTTTTTATTATTGTGGTGCAACAAAGTATAAATAAATAAATAAATTATATATAATCCACTATTCATTATGCTTATTTTTTAAATAAAGAGAAAGCTACAATTTGTAGAAAGTATTACTACTTGTAGATTACCACCGGTTTAACCCGCTCATTAACAAGAATTTAAACGACAAAGCGACAGATTTGACCTCGTGTACAAATAAGTAATGACATGCGACCATACCATAAGTTACAATTAAATATGATAAGAAGTCTTAAATAGGTTATGCATTCCCAATACATCTCCAACTTATCTTTCGTGTGATTACATTGTCATGAGTTAAAATAATTTTAAAATTATAAATGTGTGAGATTGATAAAATGTTTATTTATAACCCAATTAATTATTTAGTAGTAGTCGAATTGACATACGTCATTGTTTATTTTTATGTTTTTAGTGCAATAAAGAGTTAAATAAATAAATATTAAAGCTAAACTTATGTTTTTAATGAAGATTTGGCTTACTGAGTAATAATTTCTTGACTAAACAATACTTATATTGTACTTTCTATTCTAATCAGTGTTCTAAATAAACGCACCATTTATGATCATAAGATTAGGATTTTTATGCCATAGATGGCAAATAAGCATACAGCCCGTCTGATAGTAAACGGTCACTGTAGCATATAGACGCCTGCAACACTAGGGGTGTCACGTACACGTTGCAATAGCTCGAGTCAAAAGGACCAAGCTGGTATCCAATTGCACAATTTCCATCAGACCTTTACAATTAAGATTGATATATAGATACTCTTTATTGTTTCCTCCAAAACATTACAAATAGTAAACTTATTATAAATATAAACAATTACAAGAAATAATCACAATGAGAAAACAATGGGCGACCTTATCGCTAAAAGTGATCTCTTCCAGGCAACCTTTGGATCAAGAGGAGTAATTGAGCACAAATGAAACTCAAAATATTCATATTTCAGAATATTAAAGTCTCAAACAATCTATGTCACAAAATATCAGGCTAAACTGATATGCATAGCATATCATACATTAATATGCAACCAGTGTACTTCGTACCCACAAACAAAACGGTCAGATCAAGTTCAACAGACACGCCGAGAACTCCGTACATAAATATATATGACATAAAATAACCTTTATTGCAATAAAGATGTCTATTTCGTGATAGAAATGCATTTATAATACGAAATAGACACCTAATATTTATTAATATTGATATAACAATTAGTAATTTGTTATTTTGAACTATAATTGTGGTTCAAAACTAGACGCCATAGCTAAGTTTTTGGAGGTTTTTTTTTTTCATAATTTCTCAAAAACGGTGCAAGTTAGAAACGTCGTTGTTATTTTTCCTGAAATAATCATATATACCTTTATAAATTGTAATTATTTCAGATTTTTTGCTTCAGAGACTTTGAAGGAAAGAAATTACTTTTTTCTCACATATTCTATTTTTAAGTAAGAAAATACGAACTATAAAATTAAATATAAATTAATTTTAAAACATTCTAATGAAAACCTATCATATGGTATGACATAAACTAATATTCTTTATTCTTTATTGTACACACGACATACTGTTAATTACAATTCATTATAAACATAATGTACAAAGGCGAGCTTATCTCTAATAAGAGATTTCTTGAAGCAAAACCTTTCCATATTAATTGTGTTATTTTAAAAATAAAAATAGGCAGTTTTTGAAATTTTAAATATCAATTTTGGACCCTATATGAAATAAAAATATTTTTCAATTATTTTTATTACATATTATATTTAGTACAGAGGAATAACACCTGAGTCCTCAGAAATGGCAACGCATGAGGGGTATCATGGGCGAAACAGTGTACTCTGTTATGTCCATGGTACTGCTCATGTTTGTAGGGGACGGTTACCACTTACCATCAGGTGGGCCGTCAGCTTGTTTGCCATTCTAAGTTGCATAAAAAAAATGGCAAAATTTATTATCGACATAAACTAATTCAAACTTATTATCAAATAGTTTTTAATTTGAATCAAATTTTTATTTCCTTTTAATGTAAATTCTCGTAATCACCACTAACTCTATTATTTCATCGACATTTTTGTATATCTTTTCCGCTTACAATCTTGATATTGTGATATCAGACTAGAAGGCATTGCCTCTTAATATAAAATGTATTAAAAACAAATCTACCTTCAAATACAAATTAGGTGTTCACCTCCTAAAAAACTTGTAACACATTTTTTTTTCAATAACTTTATTTTTTTATTTTTATTCCTTTCTTTTACTTTTTACTTGTACTTTTTGCTCCAGTCGTATTTTAGTAGGAAATGCACCGCCTACTTAATTTTCTACCTACCTCGTGGTTGACTAGTAGAGAACGCCA